CATCCCTTCCATCAGTGTAGCTAAATACTTAGAAATGTAAGCCTTGAGGGAGCTTTAGCTTCTTAAGCATTTCAGAACTCACCTGAACGGACAGGATCGAAGTTCCTTTACATTTCCTGTGGCAGAGGGCTAATTAGAACTCGCCTGTGGGAGACGTCTATTCCTTCACCTTTCAAAATGCTTTCTCTCCTCTTGAGGCACACTCCCTGCACAGTATGTGAAAAACAGTAGCTTCTTAATAAATGCTTGATGGATGTTGTAGTCTGCATCTTCTAGAAGTAACACAAGTGTTGATAGCTGTTTAACAGTGAAATGTGTTTTATTTCACCCTTTGTTCAAACTAGCCTTTGAGAACTAGAACCATAAGGTAACTAAGATAGCATTAAAATTTAGATGAAAAGTTGGCATTTTTCTGTATTAGAAGCCTAGATATTACCTACTGAAATTTCCAGGGGTGGGTGGGTAGGACTTACTAACTGGAGCTTCCCAACATCACTGATAGAAAGTTGTCTTGAAGCTAGAATACATGTTCTTGGACATTGTCTTTCCATTGCGGTGACAAAGGAGGTGGTGCGGCCATGCCCCCATGCCAGTCACTCACTCAGCAGTGCACTGGTAGTTGGGGGGTAGCTTACTACCTGAGTTTCATTTTTTTCACTAGTTTTCTGATTTATGAACGTTAATTTCTTGGGAAATGTCAGAAAAGCAAGGACATCAGCATCTTGTTAAATTCCTACAGAGATGACTGCAGTGATGTGTTTGGTGCATATTCTTCCAGTCTTTTTCTCAATGTATAAATATAAAATTATTTCGTAGTTGAGATCATACTACGTATATGGTACTGTATCTTGCTTTTTTTCATTTAAACGTCGTGAGCATTTTTCCCATGGCATTAAAAACTGTTTTTGAAAAACTAAAAGCATTTTGGGCTGTCAGCATAACTGAAAATGTTTTCCTGGTTTGATCTCATGTATCTTTGTATTGGTTTGATTTAGTGTGCTTTTACTTCAATAAAAATTCAGTGTTACAATTTACAGATTGGGGTGGGGAGTGGTATCTACTTCAAATCACCAGACTTCTAGTAGATTTTTTTTTTTTTAGGTAAACTCCTGGTACATTTAAAACACTACATTTACACACCTGGCTTTATCACATCCAAATCCAACTTCGGACCAAGGGCATTAGTGCAGTTCCTCTCAGATGGCAGGAATGCCGGTTTCCTAAAGCGTTGGTCAGGCTGTGAATCACTATTGAAGTTGTGGGCGTTTCACATCCCCTCTTGCCACGGGAGGTGAGCGAACTGGTGGAGCCGACGTACAGGAGATCCCAGTGCCTTTCTGTGCAGGGCAGGGCTGGCCTTCCTCTCACAGAGCGGCAAGGGGTGGGAACAAGCAAGAGAGCCTGGCTGCAGCTCCAGGTACCTGGGAAGTAAGAGGGCCTGGCTCTGAATTTGCTCCTTGTGGGCTGTGTGTGAACTAACTCTGTCAGGAAACTATGGAATTATATCTAATTGATTTTTATAACAGGATCTGCTTATTGGTGCTTGTTGCTGTGTGTTCTTTTGATAATTTCACGATGTGTAACTTGGATTCCTCTAAACCTGGACTGTAACTTTGTTTTGGCTCAAGCAGGAGTTTGCCTTGCAGTTTTCATTAAATCGTGCCGATCTTTCCCCCACTGCTGCTCTGATAGCCGTTTCCAACAGTGCTCTGCGTAATCCCGTGAGTTGGCCTGCTCCCTTTGTCAACTGCTGTCCCCGGAGCCCTTTGGAAAAAGTGTTTGGTAGTTGTGTGCCTTGCAGATGTGCAGCGTAGTTTCCCCTCTCTAAAGCATGCTCAGAATGTGTGAACTCGGATAGGCCTGTTCGCGTGGCGTGGATGAGGTTTCCTGAAGCACCTTCTAGGTGCTTTTTAATTGGTTTATAAAAGAAAATTTGGGCTGTTCAGATTATATGTATAGATCTTGGTGGTTAATGTCAGTTTTCACACTTGGAAAATCTTTTTGAGGAAGATTAGATAGCAGACTCTGGAAAGAATTGTTATTGTTCTGAGAGCAGATAAATAACAGAATGTTGCATGTGAGATTTTCCTTTAGCTGTGAAACTGACCCCTGGTTACAAGCCCAGCAGAGAGAGATGGTGCCTTTCTAGCAGTTCTTGCTGGATTTTCAAACTGACCAAATTGATGTTGAATATCAACTTTTTAATAGAGAAGAATGGTTGAAAGAATAAGAAACCTTTGCTAGAAGTGCCTAGTCTGCTTCAGTGGAATGGTTTGTGACCCGTGGATATCAGTTACCATAGTAGGCTAGTTGATTGCCAACTGCCAAAATTGCACAGTATGGTTACTGCAGCACCTCCTGCCTTATGAAATGAAATCATAAGGGTTGACTGAAAGAGTGCGGATACCTTTCAGTCCATCATGGGCTTGGAGATGAGGGGAGAAGGCTTGGCTAGAAGTGTCCTGGAAACTGTGATGAAGAACTTAAAAGCCAGTTTGGAGTAACGTCTTGGTAAGCGGAACAGTGAAGAAGGGAATGCAGAGAGCCCTGGGTTTACATGGAGGAGTTGCAGAGGTGAATAAGCTGCATCAGCTGAGCTTTGGGGTTCCAGATGTGGGATAGGACTGGGAAGCGTTTTTCTGCCCCCAGAACTCAGTGACTCTGTGTTGCCAGGCAGTATGTTCAGTTCTTTAGATACGCGTAAAGATGGTGTCAGGAGAGCCTGGCGGCTGTAATGTGCTGCGTAAAATCGGCCCAAACCCTGTGGGTGGGGGACGAGGACGCTAGGTTCCTTCTGAAGGTGTTAAGTTTGAAGAGCCCAGTTGGCAGCTAGAAATGTGGATGGTCCCTGAGCTCAGGAGAAGTGTCTGCCCCGTGGTTCAGAATCGGGGGGGGGGGACGGGACGACACACTGATGCTTGTGGGTAAGTACAGGCATCAAGGAGGTCCCTTTGAGTGACACTTGTCAAAGGCAGACGAGAAGGCTGCAAAGGCGACTGAGGAAGGAGCTGGCAAGCTGACAAGCGGGAAGGAACAAGCCTCGAGAGGAGCCAGCAAGAGACTGAAAAAGGGGAAGGGGGGGTGGCAGGAAGAAAGCTGAGGGCTGGGGGGAGTGGGGTGGAGGAGAAGGCCAACCAGGCCTTGCTGTCAGCGATGATGATAGTGCCTGATGCCAGTGTTACTGGTGTGGGCGCCATTGACCTGGAAGCCACTTGCTGAAGTAATTGAGGCCTTAAGAGAGAGCAAGCAGTGTAACTGTCCAGGGATGTTGATTCCACTTGAGTTTGAGTCCTAGCTCTTTTTTCAGTAGTTGTGTGACCTTGGATAGATGATAACTTTTTAAGTTTGACTTCTCTGCAGAACGGAGTGTCATTTTGGCTAGTACTTCATGTAGTGGCTGACACAAAAGGCACGCCAGTGTTGTTTACAGGTGCTGGCTTTGAAAGGTTTGGTGCTAATGTGGATGAGATTGGATTGTATTCCATTCGTCAGGCACCAATGCTAGGGAGGAGCTTGTCTTTTGCAGGGAGAGCAGTAAGGGTTGGTTGGTTGATTTGAAGATGAACAGGTGTCTCAATGGTACAGTTTAGGAAGAGGTGTGGCCAGGGAGCACTGTCAGCATGGAGATGGTGGTGAGGCTATGATTTTGAGAGCGTCTGTCTGCAGAGTATTTGTAGAGCGAGAACATCACCAAAGAAAATTTAGTAGTTTGATGTGGTAGGAAAGTCTTTTCTCTGGTTGACATTCACATTTAAACCACATATTTACAAAGTTCAAAATTAAGAGCATTTTAGAACAAATGGGCTTCTACCAAATTAAGCCTCTAAACTTATTTTAAAGTATAAGGCACAAATCCTGCCCTTTAGAGAAACACTGATTATACTAAATCATGTTACATAAATTTGTTCAAGTGATAACAAAAATCCTCTGTGAGCTTCGGATATCAGCAGGCCAGTGAATTGCTAAGGAGAGAAGTGTCCTGTCGGTGGGACCAGTTCTTCTAATTTAATCCTATAGTTTGTTTTCTAGCTAGCCTGTCTCATGCCTTTTGCCAGGTTTAAAGGGACTGGTTATCTGACCATTAGGAGTGGAACGATGGTTGGACACTTGAGCTGTTGAAAAGTCCCAGGAGTCAGTGCTGGGTATATGCTGGATTTAATAGCTTTTAACCTCGAAAGCAGAGTAGCAGGAATCTTCATACTACTCTTTCTTGCACTCTCCTTCATGCAAAGATTATAGACACCTTCAGGTTAGGTTGTCCTAGGGCCTGTCTACCAAGTACCTGCAGTCCAGACCTAGTGATCAGACAGCCTGATTTTTAAGGGCAGGCCCACTTTGCACCTGTTGTCCTGGCAGGATTTTTTTTGGGGGGGTGGGAGGTGGCTTTTAAATACAGAGATTGATTTACTCACTGTTCTAAACCCTAACAGTGTGCTGGCATAATTTTTCATCCTCTTTTTGGGCTCAATCATGTACAATTTTAGATGATGAAATTTTATGGTCACATTATCTAGAAGGGGCATTGGATCAAGCCCAATCAAACATGGAAGTGATGGTTTGCCCCCTACATGCACACGCACGCGCGCACACATAATACATGGAACTTCTAGAATGATGACTGTGGAGGACCAAAATGTCTGCTGCAAGCACTTCATGTCTTCATCTATAAATTGAATACATTGCCTACCGAATGGAATAGAAGAGAGAATTTCACTCTGTAGTTGGTAACACCTAGAATAGAGTCTGACACACAGTAAGCTTTCAGTAATTGGTAGTTACCATGACAGTAAATATTGGTAACATTGCCAGTAAAACATCGCATAGGTCAAGGCTGGATGATTTGGTTTCACAGAATAAAATTGGACTGTTCCCTGGTGGCCCCTTGTAAGGAAGAGAGGTAGATACTTTTTGACACTAGTAAGGACAGGGAAAGTAAAGTGGGTTGCTTTCAAAAGGGGTACATAATTGAGCAACTCTAAAACCTCTTTTTTTCTTCCTAGGTCTTAGTGGTGCAATGGCTAGTATAAGCGTGCGTTCGAGTACCCCAGGCTCTCCTACACATGTAAGCAGTGGATCGAATGCTAGTCGAAGGAGAAATGGACTCCATGATGTCGATTTGAACACTTTCATATCAGAAGAAATGGCACTCCACTTGGACAATGGTGGAACTAGAAAGCGTACCTCAGCCCAGTGTGGCGATGTCATTACAGACTCACCAACCCATAAACGCAACAGAATGATCTAAACTGCAGACATTTTCACACCCACCATGCTGCTTGAAAGCCACTTGATCCTCAACATATACTATTATTGCAAAGGAAACATGAGGCCATCTTCCCTTGTTCACTGTTTAAGACAAGTGAATTCTATAGTGGTTGCCATAAAAGGAAGTTCTAGGTATTTACGGTAGATGCCTCTTGTAACTATGGCTTTCTTAAAATTATACTCCTAGCAGAGGACATCAGATAATTGTGTAGTCGTTAGCAAGATCATCATAGGCAAACATATATCCGTTCCAAGGCTAAAAGTGACCTTAACTGTATTTATTCTCAAAGGGAAAAGAAAGATGTTTATTTGGTTATAGAACGCTCCTTTTTTTTTTTTTTTTTTTGTCCTTCATTTCCTGCTGTTTTTCTCCAACAGTATTACCAGTCTCCTAAAATGGTCTTACAAACACGGTTTGGCTTCCTTGTCAAATCTGCAGGCTTCCATTTTTGCAGCAGCGCTGTGCACCACCTGGTTTCTCCACAGTGACAGCATGCAGCTTAATTACCAGACTGGTCCCTGTTTTTAGTTTTCAAAGCAGTTTCTAATTCTGGTGATTGTGTGATGTAAAGAGGTGCTATGATGGTCATGCAATTAATCCTTAATATTGAATCAATACACAGAACTTCATTGGATTCACTTTGTGTGTGTTAGTGCTCCAAGAGTAGCAATATTATTAACCTATACCCCCTGATAACCTGTAGGCTTAAAATAATCATTTTTAAGACAAGCACTACTTTGCAGCCTATGGTAAGTGTCAACACGTAGACTCATTCAAGGTGACCTAGAGGCCACTCTCGCACTGAGAATGAGCTTCCTGTTGGTTTGATTTAGTGGGCAGGAGTTGGATGGGGGGCTGTGGGAGGGTCCTGTGTTCTGTGGGATGTTCACGAATATCCTGCTTTGTGCAGTGCCCCCTGGAGCGTGGAAGATAAAGGTCAGTTGTCTGCTGATAATGTGATCTCCACCCAAATAGCAAAAGCAACTCTCCCCACCGCCCCACTTCCTCTCCTGGATAGGGCAAGTTTTTTCAGTCTCCTGGAAGGGGTGGAGTCCCAAGGAGGCTCTGTAGGTGGTAGGTGGAGCTAATGAAGTTCCCAGTGGATTCCTCGGAGTAAATACTAAGACTTCTTGTAGCTACAACGCTCTAGAGCGGGTTTCGTCTTCATTTTTAATATCTTGAACTGAATGGTAGTCTTCTGTAGACGAAAAACTGATGTCGGCCTGTCAGACACTGTAATTAATTCTAATATATATCGAGTAGGACAGTGAAAGTGTTTCCTTGCAAGCTTGTACTCCAGTATCAGTTACTTCCTGTTTTTAATCCTTAGAAGACCATTGCAGATCAGTGCAAGGGCTTTTCCAGTAACCCCAGCACTTTGTTCAAATTCGCATTTCCTTTGACCATTTAATAATATCCTTCTGTGAAGAAACTTTGCTAAGTTAACCATAATATTCACTGGCTGGGTGGGCTGTGAATGGGATGTTAGAAACGTGTGAGTTGAAGTTTTCTATTCACTATAGCTATAGCTCTTATTTAAAAAAAAAAAAAAGAATTCCATACTAAAAGTAGGAATGTGAGTGAGGTATTTCTAGATTTTTGCGAAAGTGGGTCTTGTTTATCTGTTTGAATATGACAGCAGGAAAAACTCTAGCAACCTGTCATATTTGGCCTGAAGCAGGCAAGCCTGTGTATGATGAACACTTTACCCTTCCCTTTGGAATACATCAAGAAAGCGTTTGGTGTTCCATTTGTTTTTCTCGTGTTGTAAATTTAGATCCTGGAATTGGGGTTTGGTGGCGTGAGGCGGAAGGTCTTGCTAGCAGCCAGACAAGTCCTGAAGGGCATTGAACTGGGAACACGTTTACTCTCCCTGTGATGCCTACAAGTCCCCCTTCCCAAGTTGAAGAACAGTTTTTCTTGTTATTTTTGTTTCAATTGGTGCTCTGAAGCTTCTCAGTACCCTTTATTCTCAGTTGTCAAGGTTTGATAAAACGTGTGCCATTTTCTTTGCTAAGAGAAAGCAGGTCTCGATGTCGGCCAGGACACAGTTGATACGCCTTGCTGGCTCCATTAAACTTTTTAAAAACTTTAGCATTTGTTACTTTTTTCCCCATTGCATTTCATTTCAAATGGTGTTTCTCACCACTACCACCCCCCGGATGACTTCCTCTCCCTTCTTTGTCCCTCGCGCGCTGTGTGCCGACCAAGCACAAAATAACCCCAAGACCTCTGAATAGAACAGGCAGTGATTCTCTTAGGGAAGCTCGGGGTCATTGCTGCAGAAGCCTTTCTTGTGCCAGTTTAGAGCAACACAGACCATGACGGCTGCCTATCTGTGGGGCGCTTTTTAAACTGACGTTTTCCGTGTCTTGAATGGTGTAGGCTGAACTTTAAAACTCCAGAGTTGGCAGACACAGCCTCCCTTCGTCTTCAGCTTGGCACTTTGATCAGCACGTAATACCTCATTCATTCCGTTCCTCTCGCCCTGAGTTGGCATGAGTGGGTTCAGGGCATCCTCACACTGCAGCGTTCTGAGCATGGCTGAAGTAGTCAAAGGTGACAGTGTTTCGTATTTTGTAAAGTAAAATTAACGGGAAACATTCGGCTGAATCTGAAAACCTGTAATGAGATTCCTCTTGGGTAGAAGTACACACCTTAAATCATGAAAACTAACCATTTAAGTTCACCACCACCACCACCCCCCCAAGAAAAAATGGGGCTTGTCTGCAGTTTTGTTTTGGTATCAGGCCTGAATAACTGATAGAAATGAAGTAGTTTAAACTACTAGAAAAAGAACTAGTCTAATGATTTTTTTTTTTTTTTTTGCTTTTTCAGGACTATCTGGACTTACTAACTTGAATAATTGTGGCTTCAGGCCTTAAGGTTTTCAGATAACACTGAAAGCAGGCACTAGCAGCTTTCTTTGTAGCAAGGGGCTGGCCAGGGCCTGGGCTGGTGGGTGCAGTGAAGTTGGTGGCTGGTGCCAAGAAACGACTTTGGAAATGGAGCCTTTCGTTGGGGCCACAGGCAACACAGTTAATTTTACAAAGTCATAATGGCTGGAGGCATTGCCTTTTTGCTACCGTGTCCCTGGGCTTGCTGAGAGGGTAGTGAGTATGTTAGGTTGCATCTCACTGTGTTTTATCACACATGGCTTGTTAGAACCTGGCACTGCAGGAATGAGATTGGTTACTTAGCTGTCTGGTTAAGAGGGGGTCTGGAATCTTCAGAGTGATTCTGGCATTTTAGAGTGAGGTGATAGGAAGGATTACCCTTGTTTATTGTAAATTAACTGTAAGATTGACCTGTTTTAATTAGCCAGTTAAAGGAGGTGGTTTCGGAGGTGGTGGTCTGCCCACCTCATTGAAAGCTGTCTGGGTTTGCCCCTCAGCTAGGTGGCCTTCCGTCACGGGGCTGGCTCCTGTACTCCTTGCTGGGATATTTCTGGCGCTGTGGGGTTTTCGTGGGGACGATAGCCTGAGGGAGGAGCAGGCCCGAGCTGTACTTGGCCTCTGACCCTGATGCGTCTGGTGTGTGGCTTCGCCCCTGGGCTGGGCCTGCATGTGCGGTCTGTATGAGGCACCATAGGTTGGTTTTATAGACGGCAGCCTGTGGGACAAGAGGAATTTCAGGGGGTGACACAGGTTTTGTGGCCCCCAGCAAAACTGGGAAGTTCATTGGTGTTATTCCAAGTTTCTGATGGGCCCTCATTTTATGTTTATTGACTTAGCGCTTTATAAAAGTATAACCGGTAAGTACCTAAAAACACCCAGCTGCACAGCAGCTTGTGTGGGCAGTTCTTCAGCCTCAGAGCATGTGGTGGTATTTCATGACTGCATAGTGTTCTAGTCTACGGCTGGGCCTTTATGGGGCGCCCGCTTTCCACGATTAGTAGTCATGCAGCAGTGAGGTTTGCATCTCCTTTTCTGAGTAGTTGTTCCACCATTAACATGAACTCACTGTCCCCAAAGATTCCTGTAGATTGTCCAGTGGCTCTTGTCACTTTGAGCAGGGAATGTGTTTCCATTTCTGTGGGGTGCCTTAATGCAGGTGAAACCACTGCCTCAAAGCAACTGATGGGACTTCTCAACAGGTCTCGCGATTCCCCTCTGCAAGGGACGCGCTGCCACCCCGTCAGCATGGCAATCAAAGGGCCTTTCCCGCATCTTAGGTAATGTTGGGGTCGTTCCTTCCTGCAGGCAGAAAAGGTGGCCCAAGCACTAATTGGTTCTGCCCTCTTCTATGGAGAGGAGAATCTCTTGAAATCACATGGATTTGAAGGCCACTTCACTGACTAACACTTGCAGGGACCGGGCGCGCTCACCTCCCCGAGCTTGGTTTCATCTGTGAAGCAGGTGTGTGATGGACAGACTCGGAGTCCTTGGAAGTTGCATACATGTAAGTCTACACTTAAAAAAGGTCTCCGGGTGGAGACCTCAGCGCTCTGGAATGTGGCTGATTGTGTAGGTGCAGTTTTGTGAAGGGAATGAAAATTCAGATGTTGGCGGAAGGACCCTCTGACCGGGCTTGGTCCTCCACCCTCCTCAGAGATGAAATCGTCCGGGAGAGTAACCTTCAGTCGGTTCCCTAGGTGTGTGTGAGCCTTCCATGCGTGTGCATGGAAACGGTGGCTGGGTGGTGACTAGTTGTCAATGGATAGTGTGGGATAATGCTCTTTCACTATGTAAGTCATTGTGGGCTGGAACTTGGAAGCTCTAGGTATTGAAAATTGGCTAATGTTGCAGCGTCCTGGGCTAGTTTGAGAGCAGAGGAACAGGCACAGTACATATTTTTACACAAAACACACTAGATGTTTCTTGCACACCACACAACGCCCTTGAGCATTAATTTCCTATATGCACTATGTGTATTATGTGCATAGGTGTGTCATACGCAGAAAAAAACCACCACAGGTCACACGGTGCAGCTTGTGTACTGTGAGGCAGGGGTTTGTCCATACGTGAGCACATGGTGGT